AGTGAGCAAGACATAAAGGTCATGTTATAGAAATACACACAGGCTAAGTGAGTATCTCACCGCTAGGATTGAAAAGAAAGAAATCTGTTTTGTTGGCAGTGATTATTTGTTTTGGGACCAGCCTTGAACTTGCTTTGAAGTTGAGGATGGCTCTCATCTCCTAATCCTCCTGCCGCCACCTCCCATGCGATTACAAGTAAGTACTATCATGTCACAGTCACAAACTACATAAGACCATGTACATAGTAGGCAAGGCTAGGCAAAGAGCCAAGCAAGAGCATTTCCAGGAGCTTATGTAAGGCAAACATCAAAGTCTCTCTTAAGCAACAATGGCTGCAGTTTTGTGAGATATGACACCAACCTCCTTCACTGCCTCATCCCAATGCATTTTACTAACCAGGACCTGACTGCCCTAGCCGCCCATCATCTGTTAACTCTCTGCTTTACTAATCAACCACAGATTTCATAGCTGAGGTACCTAGCTCTTTCTCCCATCCCTAATACATGTTAATTAATGGGCTTTTTGCTGAGAATCTCTAGATAACACAGTAAGTTGGCAAAGATCAAAGTGATGCTATTTAGTCACCCTGGGATCAAACTTTTGTTTCTTTTCTCCAGGCTGAGAGAGAAGTGTTTAGTGTGACCAATTATTTAGTCTCAGATTTTTCCATTTCCCCCCTTCACTGTGGTCTGAGACCTTCCTCCAGCCAAGGAACCATACTCAATAGAGGTAGGAACCCCACCTGAGAAGGTGCCCTTAACACTCCCTGGGCAAAACTCCTTTGCTTTTAGCAGTTTTTCTACTGAAGGTCCCTGGCAGCCACCTCCTCAAACATTTGCAAACTGGTGTCTACCCCTAATACTCTTATTTGAATTCTTGCAGCAAGTGATAAAGTAGGCATTCTGGACCCCTTTGCAAGGGGCAACTAAAGTGTGAGGTAAGTAATCTACTAAACAAGCAGCCGCTAACTTCTACATACCCTACCCTCTGGCCAAACAGACATTCTCCCCTTCGCCAGGGATTCCCTATCCTACCATGTGCCTATTGCATTATTTTATGGGGTAACTCTAGCCTCTTGTCATCTGAGAAGTGTTTCCCTGTGAACCCTCCAGGGAGGTTGAGTCAATTCGTCACTCCATATGCCATAGAGGACAGCAACAGTTGGTTTTAAGAATTAAACACTAACTAACAATGGCTGGGGGCATGTTTCTCTCCTACCCTAGAACACAGGCCCCAGAGCTGAAGTTCAAGACTAAGTCTCATTCACTCCATGTCCTCCTGACACCCAGTGTACCTCTAACTAAACTCAGTAATAAAAACCTTTGATATCACTCTAAGACCCACGTTACAAATACATCAATATCACATTAGGGAGAAGCAAAATTGTTATTGTTCTCAAATCATAAATTGAAAAGAGAATTACCTTCTTTTTTTAAAGAAAGTCTGCAGTTTACTTAGGAACAACCGGGAAAAGACTAGGAGGTTTCTTGTGACTCACTAATTTGATGCTTTCCTCTCCACAGATCGAGTCCTTGCTGATTTCTGCCCTTACTCACTGACATGCCACACCAAAATGAAATCAAAGTGGCTAAAACTGCAGTTCTATTCACTCAGGGCTTTGTGCTGAACATGCTAAGTCTTGCTGTCATGCTGTCCAGAATTCCCAAAGACAAGGTCACATGAAAATACCATTGCTTACAAGGAAAAATATTTCCCAGCACGTAGGGGGAAAGAAGAGGTAATTATTCTCATTATAGGTTCTGCCCCTGGAGCCCAGTATCAGACAGCAGTAAGTTAAGAGGAAAAGAGGCTGTGTATGCAATGCAGGCGGGTTGGGGAGGTGGGGGGAATGGCGGCGGGGGGGGTGTTGTACAGGACTCCCAAGGTCCTAGTAACAGACCAAAACAATGCAAAGTTTCCATTTCAATTTTAACTAGAATTTGATCTCTTGGATGGAAAATTACCCAACTCTATTCTAGGAACCTGAAGTCAAGATGCCTGAGCTAACTTATCTTGGTTTCTGTTAAACTGACTGCTTGTGCAAACCTCCTCCTTCAGCCAAGCACTTATCTTAGCTTCTGTTTAACTGCTTGCTTGTACAAAACCTCCCCTGCAGCTCTGGAGCAAGATACCAGAAAGCAGTTTTTGCCTTCAAAAACTCCTTGCCCTAAACACTCAATGCTACACTTGGGTCCCTGAGTGTACTCCCAGCAGACTGGACTAAAGACTTTCAATTGGCCATAAGATGTCTCTAAGTGGGTTATCTCTGGTGGGATCCCTGTAACAGTCCTCACATTCCTTCCTATATCTTTAAAATAGTTTCTACATTCAGTATTCTCTGATATTTAAAGTTATTTCTAAGTCTAACAACCCAGAGATAGTTATTTTCTTTCTAGCATATACTGTTTTCCTTTCTTCAGTCCTGCACACATTTTCATCATGTTCATCTTTAGAAAGAAGAAAATACGAAACATGTAGTATGTCAATGGAGACAGATACATTTATGCTTTCCATTCCCTCTGTGTAAAATGGAACAGAGTGTCCCTATCCTATTCAAGTTGGGTAAAGACTCTCATCTCAAAACTACTTTGGATAGAAAAAGGAAAGGGAATCTCAACTACACACCAAAGTAATTTATGCAGAAAAAAAATCAAAATTCAAAGACTATAGAACTGGAGAAATTCCAGGGCAGCTAAGCAATTTTTAATGTGCCTTAGCTACACACCAAGAAAGGGAACACACTTTCTTTTTCTGACAATTAACGAAATATGATTTCATGTCAATAGAAATATAAATAATCCTCAATGGAAATTCTAATCTAAAAATAAGGACATTAGATTATGCTTTTAAAAGTTCAAAATCAGTTATAAGAGACTGGATTTTTACTTTGCTCTTTCTCAGAAGGAACCAGCATCCTTTTTGTTTGCTCACCAAAGTACCTGACATCAGAGAAAATGCTTGTTCCAAAGATTCCCAAGGTCATTACGTATATAGAAATCCATGTACAGAGGCAATGTCATATCAAAGGAGTAATTATGGCTTTAAAACACTCTGATGTGCTGAGCGTGGTGGCTCAACCTTTAATCCCAGAACTGGGAGGCAAAGGCAGGTTGGCTTCCGTGAGTTTGAGGCCAGCCTGATCTACATAGCAGGTTTCAGGATAGCCAGGACTATACAAAGTGACCTTGTTTCAAAAAGCAAACAAACAAAAAATTTAAAATGATGACAACAACAACAAAATCACTGTGATACTCATGTGGTCATACAAATAAGCACTGATTCATTTCGTCTAAACTGAACTAAAGGGCAAGCATGGCCGTCTTTGGTACGGGCTAGAGAGATAGCTCATGTTTGCTGCTCAGACAGTAAGACCAGAGTTTGGAACTGTGGGTGTGACAGCCAGCCAGCAATCCCAGCACGCAGGAGACAAGATGGGGATTCCCCCAGGCAGGATGGCTAGCTAGACTGGCTGAATCAGCAAACTCTAAAGTTCAATGGAAGACTCTACTTCAGAAAACAAAACAAAGTGATAGAGCAAGATGCTGAGTTTAACGTCTAGCCTCCACATATACCCACACAAGAAAAAGCATAAAGTCAATGATTCTCCTTAAACAATTGAAGTAAGACACGAGAATTATTGATGGGTCTACTGAATATATGTATTAAAAGGTGACATTTAATGGGCAAAGGCACTTGTCACTAATCCTGACAACCTGAGCTCAACTCCTAGGACTCTCATTGTGGAAGGAGAGAACCAGTTCCCAAATGTTGTCCCGTGATCTCCATACACACTCTCCTCAATAAATACAAATACATGCGATACATTTTTGAAGAAAAAATGAAACATTTGTTTAAGTTAATATTCACTTGATAACACCTGACATGTTTATAATATTCTTATTTTGCATGTTTTTAAGACAGACACACTTCAGAGATGTTCTTCACCAGGAAAACCAGTTTTAGTGATCAGGCATAAAATCAAATGCAATGGTTGAGCCCGGGGCTGCGGTCCAGATGTAGGGCACTGGCCTAACATACAAAAGAACCTGGGTTTCATCCCTAGCATCGCATGCATGCATATAAAAGTCAGACGCTCTATTATAATGATTTTATAATGACATAATTTCATAGAATGGTGTTCTTATGATTGCATGTAGCACATCTAAAAGTGGTAAAGCTTAAAAATAATATTCCTTAATTGGTATCATTTATATTCAGCTATCTGAATGGTTTAATTAGCTGAGTACAAAAATATGGAAAGTTGATTAAAATAAATTCCTAAAAAGTTACACCAGACACACAGGAGGAGGAGGAAAGTGAGCCTGGGCATGGATGTACAGGTAAATCTATGTTGGCACATGTAGCTCTACGTTGCAGATACGGGGACACAAATTTCAATTTCACGTTATAAAGTCAAGTCAAACACAAATCTTGAGTCATCAGGAAGGATGTCAATTAGAAATAAATGCAATATGGAATAAGCAAAAGCTTAAAAATCTGAAATAGGAGAAAGTGGAGCAGAACTTTGATTTAACTTTGATTTTTCTTTTCTTTTCCTGTGTATGGGTATTTTACCTGTGTGCATGTCTGTGTACTATATGTAGTGCTCACCAATGCCACAAGAGGGAATTGAATCCCCTAGAACTGGAGTGAAAGGGGGTCATGACCTGCCATGTGGGTGCTGTAAATCAGCCCAGCTCATTTGGAAGAGCAATGTGTGCTTCTAACCACTGAGCCATCTCTTCAGCCCCATCATTTTTATTTTTTTCAAGACAGGGTCTCTTATAATCCTGGCTCGTTTCAAAACTCCCCAGGTAGCAGAGGATGACCTTGAACTTCTGATCCTCCTGCCTCACCTCCCAAGAGCTAAGATGACGTCGGTTTTTTTTTTTTTGTTTCGTTATAAACTTCACATCGTTCCTTATTTTGAACTGCGTATTCACTGTCCCTAGATAAGCATTAAATTTTCAAAAGCACACATTAATGGAAACTGACTCACCAATAGTCATAGCTCTCATCCCAGTTGTCAAAATGTACCAGAAAACGGTTGTCCACCATATCTGTTACCGTAGCAACGCAGATGAAGGAAGGGTTCTTTTTGTCTACAGCCTCAAGCTTCATTCCAACTCGAAAGCCTGATGGGATCACTGTCTATGGAAACATGCAGATTTAATTAGAGATAAGCACACTTCACTGCAGCGTGATCTACATAGTCTGTACCCCTGCTTCAATTCAAGGACAGGCCTCCACAGCTATATTCACCTAATAAAAGAAGGCGATGCCAGCCTCACAGTGGGGTTGCTTTTCATGGGCAACAATAAAAATCGAAGCTCTACAGTTACATTCAATTAGCTATCCCAGCCTCAGAACTAAAACATCGGCAACCTGACAGAGTTTAAAATAATTAATTTCAGTGAGTGTTTTAATGCCTTAGTTAGGGGATGTATACTAGGCAGGCAAGTTTTATACACCACATGGCTGATTGCCTGGCCTTTTTTTTTCCCCTTGATTACAGATTGGACAATGAAAATTATTTACACAAAAGATACACTTAATTGAGTTAAAATGTGGAGTCAGCACAAATTCACTTCCACCTCTGAGAAGATCTCTCAAGTACTGTACAGAAAGTAGGTCACCATCGCTTATGAAAAGCTTCAAGCTATTACAGCTTCAGCTTACTACTCCAGACAGTTTTTATTCCCAGCTGCAGCACAGCAGCTGGCTGTTGATACACATTGTCATTAGGAATATTAGGTATTTTAAGGAAATCCACAGATGATCAGTCATCTGGGATCCACAATGAGAACAGGAGCTCACTGAGTTAGTGCTTGAGGGACAGTGATGTGTAAACAACCCTTACAATCTCCCACGGAAAACTATTCTAATCTCAGGGTAGGATACTTGAATATCCACCCTGTTGACTACAAAACAATGGAAGTCATTTCTACCATCCAGTAAAAGCCCTTCATTTCAAACAAGCATATGGGCACCAGTCTAATGCCTTACACAAACAAATGCTACCTTTCATTTTACCATAAAAGACTGAAGGAAAAGTAAAACTATATAGTTATGATTACAAAAATGTACACAAGTATATATGAAAATACTGCAAGTCCTGGGTGAATTAGACAGCACACATAACATGCAGAAAATGTACCACATATTTGAACCCTGAGATTATATAGCATTTATGACCATAAATATCTGACTATTCTGATGTGGAGAATCTAGAAATAGAAAACTTAATTACCTCGCAAATACCAACAGAGGCTGAAGATTAGGTTGTGTGCTCACCATGCCCAGAATGGAGTGATGGTTCAAGGTAGTTAATGACACCATGATGTAAGTCATAGTCAGAGAAACAGTCATGGGGCGGAGACAGCAGGCTGCTGAGTTTCCAGCCAGCTGACCTTTCTCTGAGGAAATGTTTTGTCAGAGAACATATACTGACAAGGCAGTATTTCCATCCTGGCGATTCAGCTGTCTGCCCAATTAAGAGATTGTAAAGTAGGCTGACTATATTTTATCTCTCTACTTTCATTCTTATTTCAACCTTGGTTATGTTTAATCAAATCAGAGAATAGTTCCTCCACTAGATTGGTACCCTCAAGCCAGCTGTCTGGTACCACTGCCCGGATGGAAAGGCTCCCCCAGTGCTGATACTTGTTCCATTCCAAGGGAATCCTGATGGTGACGCTTCTACCTCTATCCTCTTATCCCTGCTACCTAAAGGATGAATCCAGGAGAGGAGGACGCTTGCACTATTAAGAGAGCCAAGCTGCAGGCATGTGCTCTACTCTGTCTGCTGAGGGACCAGGGCTCAGAATTAGGAGGCTCATTTGTCAGCAGTGAAAGGTCATATATATATATATATATGTCCTCCCATCCAGTCCTTGTCAGCTATAAGGATGACATTTTGTTTGCCCCTGCTCTAATTAGACCACATCTTGGGGAAGGAAAGGTGTAAATGTGTAAGTCCCTCTCGGGTATGTTGGAGGAACACAGAATAAAATCAGAGACAGCAAAGAAGCTGAAAATGCGTACACATCTGCCTTCGCTTTTGCTACAAAAACTATGGTAAACAAAGCTATAAGCAGCAATAAAGGCATGGTGGAGTCCCTGGTGACTCCTGCCTGCAAACTCAAGCAGGGCTGTATCCACCACACTATGTGACTCCCATCTGAACAGCGCTCCTACTTAAATGATGGCAACAGTATAATATTCCAGCCGATTTAATTTTTATGCATCTTAATTGTAAGCCACACCTGGATTTCATATTACAATGTCATACCATTCAATAAGACAACCATAATGTGGCTATAAAATAGATATTTACTCATGAAAATTTAAGTTAATTTTAAAGTTTAATTAAGATTCGAGAATTCTTAGCAAGGCAATAAAATTTATTACAGTTCCTTGTTATCACTTGTGATTTATCCTGTGAGACACTAAAAATAGACTCACTCCTTCGGAAAGGAAAAGCACTTTGGATACACTTACTATGTTCTGATTTTCAAATAACGACTTGGGAGCAGCCTGGGCTTTGCACGTCTTAAGGTAGGATTGCCAATTAAATTCTTCTTCTTTATACCCTGGAGGGAAAGCACATGTGGCCAGCCTTAGGAAACACACAGAGCATTACCAAGTCATTCCCCATCCTACTCTGCCTGCAGCTGAAACGTGTTCACATCAAGCAGCCAAATGGTCTTTTTCAATAAATACAGTTTAACCTACAACGTACAGCTATAGATTTGAGATGCAGGTTGTGTTTAGCATCAACCAACTTTGTTATCATTTTAAATTCTAAGTAGATGTGATAACCGATGTACAAGGCATAAGGAAGCAAATGTATTTTGAACCCGGTAGGTTTTGTATTGTCAAGCTACTTCCATCAACATGCAGCTACAACTCCTCAGAAGCAGAACTAGTAAACTGGAGTAATCACATTCCTCATTCCCCATTTTCCCTCACCTCATTTACTTTGAGAGACTAATATGAACAAATAGAAGTTGGGGAAAAAAATAAATCATTTTAGTTCTTCAAAGGAAAAACAAAGGGGGGGATCCCAGGTTCACAAAGGGTTTTGGAAAATTACATTAAGAGACGAGTCCTTGCCTAACATTTCCAATTCATCAGTCAGCATTGCCTTCTGAGAGGTGAGTTCCTAAATGGGCTTTTATCTATCTCAAAACATCATATTGTCTTTAACTTTTAGTTAGAGCACAGAAATTGTAGCCTGCTATAAAATAACATTTTGGGGGCTGGGGGGCTGGGGTGTAGCTCAGTGGTGGAGCTCTCACCTGGCATATGCAAGGGCCCTGAGTTCCAACCCCCAACACTGATGGGAGAGGGGACAAAAGTATCAAAATTTGATAGCTTGAATTTTTGACATGCCAAAAAAGTTAAAAAGAAGGAAATATTAGTAAATACATAGGGGATGGCCTAAAAATTATAGTATCTTTTCTTTCTGGGGATTTTTTTTTAATAATTATAAAAGAGGTTAAAAAAAATACCCTGGCAGACTAGAATATAAAGGATTCCACCAGGCATGGCTGTATGTGCATATCTCAGCACTTAGGAGACAGGACATTAAGTTCATTTTGAGACAAGGCTTCAAGTATCAATAAACAAACAAATACCGAGAATGTGCGGAGGGTGTCGGGGATTGACAACACAGAGACTCGTCCAACGATGTAAAGAAAACTTTAAGCAGGCCCCAAAAGGCTCAAGAAAACTTCCCCAAGAAAGGCCTCCCTCCAGAAAAGCTTCTGCTCTCTCCTCTGACCTGGCTGGTTCTGCTCTGACACAAGAAACTGACTTGGGTGTGTCAGAAGAGGCGGTTAGTCTTTGGAAAAGGTCGAGGTCAGGGCAGTTCCTGTGGGCCAGTCCTTTTCAGGAACTTATTGCCCCGGGGAATTGTATTGTTTTTAGTAAACATTGTCTTACAACTGCCTACTCCCAGGCTGATGGGGAAGTGGGTCTCTGCTCAAGGTCTGGTGCCCCCACAACAAACAGACAGTGAAGCACTCCATTTGGCTAGGGATATAAACCAGTGTAAAACACTTGTTTAACATGAATGAGACCCCAAGCTTGATCCCCAGCACTGAAAGTAATTAGTATTAGTCCAACATTTATGCATGGTAGTTTTCAGTACTATATTTTCTTCTGCAATCTAAAATATCAAAACCTGTAGGTTCAAGGCATAATTTCTCAAGATACTCACACTGGTTCTCTCTCTCTCTCTCTCTCTCTCTCTCTCTCTCTCTCTCTCTCTCTCTCTCTCTCTCTCTGTGTGTGTGTGTGTGTGTGTGTGTGTGTGTGTGTGTGTGTGTGTGTGTGTCTCTCAGGTAAGGTCTACCTAATGTAATCCATTTTGACCTGGAACTCACTGTAAAGCCCAGACTGGTTTCTAACCCATGATCTTCTGCCACAGCCTCTCTAGCACTAGGACTGCAGGTATTTGTCATCATAGCTGGCTTCTCAAGCTTTTTTATACCATGGCATAGCAGTAAAACTAATGAGTGTCTCAAGCAATTTTATTCAAGGCTACGTGTATGTGTGTATGTATTCACACATATACACAGATAAGACAGATCTGTACGTAAAAGCTATTGATTATTATTCAGATTTAAATCTATGAAAACAAGCACACGGAGATAATTTATTCTCTTAAATTAGATTTTTCATTTCTTTGGCTTTAAAGAATGTTTAACATTATGAACAATAAGCTTGACTTAATTACCAGAAAGAATAACTTCTAGGAATTTAGCATCTAAGAAAGTAAGATCTTACTGAATTTAAAGCATGAAACAAAAAGTAGCAATACCTTTTGGAGGCTGGAGTTTATGGCCTGTTTTCTCACACCACCCAACTGGGTGGATGTCCAGAGCATCTGCATTTACCCAGAAGTCATAGCAATCAGAATATCCATCAAAGTGAAGCTTTATCCGATAGCCACAAACCTGAAATAAGTAAGCAGGTTGGATAAGTTAAAATATGAAGGCGTGTACTCACGTACACACGTACACACACACACACACACACACACACACGTGTGCACACACACAAAATAACTAAGTATCATGTATGACATATTCTTAGTGGGGTTAAAGAGATGGAATGTTAGAAAGGTGCTTCCCAGACAAATGTGAGGATTCCACAAGAAGCTGGAGGCTGAGTCAGAGCCAGCACTGTGACCCCTCGAAAGTGAGGAAACCGTAGTTACTGTCATGGAAAGGCCTCTAAAACGTCCTGTTAAAACTCAAGTAGCAGATCTAATTATACAAGGTGAGACAGTCTGTGAAAAAAAACATGTGCGCACTTATATATATGTTGTGTATCTCCTAAAAATATATGGACATGTATACACATATTTACACGTACATACATAGATATACACATAAATTCACATATATATGTGTATGTATATATATATATATATATATATATATATAAATAGTTAAAGTCTTAAAGAACATGATAAAATATTGACAATTATTTCTTCCAGGAAGTGGAAATAAAAAGGAAGAAGATGGGTGTGATCCTTTAATTCCAGCACTCAAGCAAGCAGATCTCTGTTGAGTTCGAGGCTAGCCTGGTCTATTGAGAGAGTTCCAGGACAGCCAAGGCTACACAGAGAAACTCTGTCTCGAAAAACAAACAATAACAAAAACAAAAGGAAGGCACCAAAAAAAGAAGTCCCATTTATTTTTTTATGTTATATTTTGGTTAAAAAATACATCAGTACTAGCATACACAAATCTACAACTAAGCACACTCCTCACAGAATCTAGAGTCCTAGGTGACACTGGGGTCCCTAGGGCATTTGATCTGGCTGAGGACTACTCCCACCTCCACCATTTCAGAGGTTTTTTGTCTACCCTGCCTGGCAAGCAGCTGTCTCTGCCCACCTCCTACAAGTGAAGCCGGTGGTTACCTCCCGCCTCTAGTCCCTTGTGGTCACAGCACTCCTACATCTTCTGTCTTCCTGCTAGAGACTGCTCTCAAGCTCTGCCTTGCCTTGAGGCTTTTCATTCTCCACAGCTGGCTCCTGTACTCTGTTCCTCCAGGACCTTGACCACATGCAGGGTTACACTGTCTCTCACCCTGGGCATCACTCTGTTGCTATACATGTAGCATGTCCCCGCTCCCTATGACCCTGGGCCCCAGCTGATACCTCCTGTCCATTCTGAGGCCTTACACCTTTTCTTTCCTGTGTCAGGCAAGCGTTCCTATGGAACTGGTTCCCACCAGAAACTGCCATGCCTTTTAACTCCTACATTAAAGGTCTAACCCGAGGAAGAAAGCCTTCGTCTTTCCAATTTCTAGCCCACCTCTTCCCAAGATTCCAAGAGTGTACCTTACACCTAGCCTAGTGTATACTTCTGGGAAGAAAAAAGAAGTCAATTTTCATTATTCATAAGTTTCGTACCTATGAATTCACTTGCTTGTTAAAACTTATTTCTAACCCAAAAATAACATACTTGGTGCAGGTCGAGATGGGAATACAGAATGGCGACAATATATGGGTCACCCGAGATCCAGGTTCCCAGCAGGGACTGGCAGGGCCTTCGTGGGACTCCCCTCCTATGAGTAAGCATCCTATAGACGGTTTAGCACCATGTCTTCATTTCTTCAGCCTTTCTGTTGACCTCGCTCATTCGCCCAGAGTGCTATGACACCGCTAACACAGGAAATGTGTGTGTTATGGGGGCTTTATTCACGTGTGCACTGCAGTGCTTGATGATGAATGGGAATTCCGTTTGAACATACAATAATATAATAAAGAAGGAATCATCCAACAAAGACAAGTATGTACGGACCAAAGGCTGGCAGGAACCTAAATCTACATTTCCTGTAGGAGCAATGGTTTCCCCTGAGTTAATCTGAGGGACACAATAACCTCGACGAAGAAGGATCCAGTCACGAGAATCAGCTACCCGGTGGCAATCCCAAGCCTCAGGAAACTGAGGCAGGAGGATCTGTGAGGCTAGATTCCACACAGTAAGAATGTTAAAGAAATCAGCTATGATGGAATGCTAGCTTCCTTTCTCATTATTCATGCTAATCTTTCCTGCCTCACCCTCCTCACAGTAATCCACTTATCTCCATTTCTTTGACAATGGTTCAACACCTGCATCAAAGAAGCTACCAAGCTGCTTCAAACAGGCAAGCCCTCTGAGATCCGGACTTGAGTCTTTACCCCTTCTTCCTGTGCAAGCAGGGAGAGACTGTCCCTTGGAGTAAAGCCCCAAAGCCCTCAGGCATCAGGGCTCCACCTGCTCTAGTACCTTCTCCAGGGCAGGGGGTAGATGAAAATAAAACAAAACTCTTACTCAGTTTTAGGTAAACAAATTCTCACACGTTTTTTGAGAGATTTAAGAACTGATAAACTCAAGGAAAGCTAGATAAACCCAAAATGGCTTCAACAAGAACAGGAGACGGCAGCCTTTGTACTGACACACGAGTAGCAGTTCCAGGATTGGTTCTCACGAGCATGCATAAGCAGGAAGAAGCAGAGATGAAAGGATGGAAGGCTGCTCATTCTAAAACACAGGTGGTCATGTTGGGGGGTGGGGGCAGGATCCCACTATGCAGGCTGGCTTCAAATTCACCATCTTCCTTCCATAAGAGAAATAGGTACCCATTCAGTTGATACTAATATGAATGCAGTTGAAATGAACAAAAGTAATCCTGTGGGACAAGTGTTAGTCAACTAAGAAGTGCCCACATTCCAGATCCAGATTTCTCCTCAGCTTCAATCAGCATCAAATCCCAGTAGTCGTCACTATCCGCCAACCACCAGTCTCCATCTGTGTATTGTGTATTTTCCCTATGTGCATGCTGCATACCCTGACCCCCCAATCCTCCATCACAGCCTGGTTTGCTGCAGTCTGTTTTCCATCCCTTCTCAGAGGCAGCCAGTTTGGTCCTCCACCCCCTAATACATCTCTTGTATGAGGTCCACTGCGTGGTGTGATTTTTGTGGCATTCCTTGGCCCCCAGATTGCCAAGATACTCTTTCATCAAAACCCTTTCAATAAGACCTAATGGTAAAAAAGTGTGTGTGTGTGTGTGTGTGTGTGTGTGTGTGTGTGTGTGTGTGAGACAGAAACAAGATGCAAATTATGCAAAATGTAACAATACATGTAAAGGGGAAAAAAAAGATATATACAATTTGATGTGCAGAGAAGGCGTCTACTAGAAGCCAGCAGTCACTGGTAAGGGTGATGCTCTGTGGGTTGTGGCATGAGGTGGATGGAACAGAGATTAGAACTCTTAGACTCTGATGATTTTACAAAGAGCAAACAGCTTCCATAATCAAAACACTACAGTAAGTAAAATAAACCTTCAAAAAACAAGAGTCAGTGGCTAGGTGATAGAATGGTTGCTTAGCAATATGAAGCTCTGCCTTTTGTCTTCAATACCACAAAGAAGAAGTAAACACAGGAGTTAACACACACACACACACACACACACACACACCACCCCCAAAATCCCCACATACACACCCTAAAATACACACACACACACACACACACACACACACACACACACACACACACACTACCTCTGACCCCCAACCTAACCCCGGGGCTCTTTCTTTTACAGATAAAACTCTTTAAAAGCAATCTAGATTTACTGAATCTTCAAACTCAATCCAGTCTCCAGATCCTCATCTTCAACAACATCTGGCACTGCTGCTGCTCCCTCCCAAGACTCCATCAACAAGACAATCAGCCAGCACTGGGCACATAGTGTGTTCCAGGATACTACAATGACTGAGGTCACCACCCACAGTCATTGTACTCTGTGTTCTGCAGGAAGCTAGCTTCTTACAAACCAGTCACTGAAAGGACACTACAATAACTAAAACTACTGCCTACACCTTCCTCCTCTAAGGAGAAGGTTTTGAAAGATCCATAACCATAGTTCAATGGAAAAAATAAGGAGGCTACCACAGGAGGAAAAAAAATGTAAAAAGTACTCTCAGCAATACAAGGGACAGACTGTGTGTGTCTGTGTGTATTTGTTGCTTGGTTCCTTTTGTCAAGGAACATACAGTATGGCAAAGTCTATGGAATCATTTCAAACCCTAGGTCCAACACCTTGAGACTGTGTGGCCTTATACTGATCACTTGACCTCTTTGGCCTCATGTCCCTCATCTGTGAAACAGGGATGACAAAAATCAAAAATCATGAGTTGAACAAGACATATCTCATGATGATCGAAACACTAAACATCCTGCCTTCCCTGAAGTAAATATGCAGCTGAGGACATTTCTTTTCTCATCATTAAGGCCCATAGTCATCATTTTATTTTCTAAGCAAATACAAGGCAAGGCTCACCTCAGCCACAGTGAGGACACAGTACACAGACTGATGCTCTGGGTCCACACCTTCAAGCTTCATTCCGACTTTGAATCCATTTTTGTTGTATGGAAAGGACTGGTGCTGCAAAGCAAAATGGCAGCATTACATAACCACTAAGACTGATTCAAAATGTGAACAGTTACTATTCTTACAGAGTCCTTAGGGCTGGGGATATGCCTCGGTGGCTAAGTGCTTCCCGAACACGAGTAGGGCCCTGGGTTCCATCCTTACCATCCCAAAGATGGCTCTCATCAAACATACAGATTAATGATCACAAACATATAGATTAATTAACAGCTGCTTAAAAGTCCCAAAAGAAATGGATGAATGAAAGATGAAAAACTCACAAAGGCTATGAACAAGTCATAAAAAAGAAATCTAATGACTTATTGCCCATGTCTTTGACAGATTTAAAGAGACAATCAGCTTTGACCATCAGAACCACACAAGATATATTTCCTGTTAAACTGATGAAGACCAAAGAGCTTGATGGTTCTGTGCTGGAAGGCCCCTTGAAGGCAGACTGGGGCATGGACCACTGGGAATGAAAAGCAGCAATTTCATTCTATCTACAGAATTGCCTTCTCTCAGAAAATCTGACTCCACTTAATTACCAAATGGAAATATTTGTATATATGCAAGATGTCAGGTGAGTAACACCATTCACTGAACCATCCAGAAAAACAAAATTAAAACTTATATCTGCCTGTCAACCAATAGAGAGCAGTGTAAACTTTTGTGGAATAAATGTGGCTTAAACTACTCTGGCTTATCATAAAAAGAAAGGTGGAGGGATTATTTACCTAAAACGAAAAAAATCTCCAAACTCTACAATGCAAAAGCAAGTCTAACAAAGTATGGACCGCCATTGCCACTGTGTATTTTTTAGACAGGGCCAGAGGTATTTGTTTGTGTGATGACATTCTAGGAAGGAAGGAACATAAGCACTAGCAATACTGCCCCTTCAGCAGAGATAAATCTGGTGTCTGGGTGGCAAAGACTCAAGAGTCATACTTTATTGCCTTTTACTGAAACTTTAAATGACATGAATGTATTACTATTAAATAATCTATAAAAACGTGAAGGTGGGGATGGAGAAACAGCAGAGTAATTAAGAGCACTTGCTTTTCTTACAGACACAAGTCTGGTTCCCAACACCCACATCAGATAGCTCACAACCTTCGGTACCTTCAGCCCAGAGGATCTTATGTTCTCTTCTGGCTTCTACAGGCGACCACTTACATACCCGCACGCATTATTAAAAACAAATCCTTTTGAAAACTGTGAAAGTCTGTTCTACACAGGACCAAACTTATAGAAAATAATTACTCAGAATAAGTTGTAATTACTCTTACGTTTGCATTAATATTTTCAGTGCTGATGTACTCACTCTAATGTTCACTCTGTTTTCCCTTTGTTCATTCATAAGTAGAAAGATACCCATGGAAGGTTTGCAATACATTAGGTGATTTAAATGAAGGCTCAGCAAACTACAGTCTGTGTCAAACCTTGTCCACCACAGCTTTGTAAATAATGCTTTATTGGAACACAACTCACATGTTATCTATGGCCACTTTCGTGCATATTATATAACAAGCTCTATTGTAGGAGCAGACTCCAGATACCCAGAACATGACCCTTCACAGAGAAACTTTGCCAAATCCTATCTGAGTCTAGAGGCAAGAGACCCCAGGCAGAGCTATACCCACTACCTACACTTTAGACTGATTTTAAATTACTTATGAAGGAATAGTCTTATCAGTAATATATTTGGTAAAACATTTTAAATGTTTGTTAGCAGGATATAAATCTCAGTAACTCACTTTCAGTTTCTCATAATTAGACATAAAATGTACCTACTGGTGTTTCGATAATAGTATTCTTATAATGCAAAATGAATGAAAACGATGAGAGAAGCTATACACATCTGTAAGTCTGTACAGTGTTGCAGTGTGCTGTGTGCACATGCCAATTAATAATGGCTGCCTTTTGAGGGACCTTCCATATAACATTCTCATGAAAAACAATATACTTGAGAAACTGTCCCCGCCACACTTTCTAGGCCGATACTGGAAACGACGATATGGATTCCAATGAGTTTCCTGCTCCTTGGCCTTTACACACAGTGCTTCTAGAAGCACTCATACCTCTTTGAACAGCTTCGCAGGCACTGCCACAGCTTTCTCCTCCTCTAGGTAGGATGCCCAGCACCAGGTTTTCTTGCCTTTAGGAGGCAAACCTGAAAGACAGGAAACCAAATGATGGATTTGCCGAAGCTAAGAAATCAATGAAATATTCCGGGACATGGCTTTTGCGCAAATATTCTGCTTTCTGGCTCTTCCTGTTCCACGGCTGACACTTCTCGCTTTTTCTGGTTCCTCTTCCATAAAAACAAGAACTGAGAAGTGAACTGTGGTATAAATACCCAGTTGATGAAGGCAGAAGAAAGTGGAAGAACTTGGAATACATGAAAAGTCCAGCAGGAAGCCCAGAGAAGCTACAGGGAGTAAAATCTTCCAGGAGCAAGATGTTTAAGTGTGCTGATAGCTTGGTCCCAGGGCATCTAGACGTTGAAGCAGGAGAAAAGGACGGTGTACTAAGTGCTTAGGGGATATCAGCTAATCTTGGAAATGAAGAAAAACACTGACGTGGTGGAAATGCGCGTGATAAAAATCAGAAGGTCTGGATTAAATGTGGTAACGTGCTTGCTGCAACAAGGATAGGCGTGAGACTGCATGGCAAGCAGCAACACTGGGCGCTCTCTCGGGAGTCCACTGTGGTGCACAAAGCGCTCGCGCAGGTCATAAGGGAAGGAACCTGGAACACCAAGGGGAACAAATGACTGGAAGGACAAGGTCTACGAGAGCCAAGGGTCTGGAATTTCATCAGTGCCGGCATTCGTGGGGGGGAAGAAGAAAAAGGCTCAAGAACGAGGCCATTTCATGCAGGGTAGCTAAGGGAGTTAATTCGCTTCCCTTAATCACAGAAACAAACAAAAATGCTATCAGAAGGCATGTGGAAGTTCTGCTCTGAGCTAGACATAGGTGGAATGAAATATTTACAACTCCGTCTGCGGGATTAATGGAAGAAGCGGCAAGCAGTGTCTCCAAGCACAGATAGGGAATGCTGGGTTGCTGGGTTCACAGCCCTGTGTTTTAGGGAGGAGTGTGCGCGAAGTGGGCAGGTTGGTAGCTGGGCTGTACCGGGTCAGAGTGACCTCAGCTAACCTTGATCAAAGGCCTGACAGGGCAGATGCAGTGGGCAATGTGGAGTAAGGCTGAGAGGAGTTTATATGGAAATGACCCGAAGTCCACACCATGGAAGACTTTATCCAGCGAAACAGCAAAGAGGAAGACCTGAGAACTACATTTTCCCAAGAGAGTAAGATGTGGCCTCAAGGGAAGGAAAAAAGGGGGTCACACAGGAAGGCTGTGTTTTGCGAGATCACAATAAACCTAACCTCTTGGGAAAAGAGTAAGAAGAGGGGTTTGGGCAAAGGGCAGACGCAGGAAAAACCATCTTGATGGATAAACCAGTAAATGAAAGAAGGTGTTCCATACATGCGCAGTAACAACCTGAAAACTAGCCTTTCCTTCCTAAGCTGCTCCCTCAAGTCTTTGCTTTTATGGAGGAAACGGCACCAGAGAGAAACTCAGTGGAGTATTCTGTGATGGTACGGAGAAGCATAAAGACTGAAACTGGTTCTCCTGAACTGGATTTTCAGGACCACCAGTCGGCATGGCTTTTACATCATCAGCTCACCCTGCTTTAAGACAGTTGAGTCCCCGCGTCGTTTCCTTCTGGCTCTCTGGGAACCCCTGAGGATCCTTCCATCTTGCTTGTTCTCCTACAGCAAGAAACGAACAATTTGAAATTGGTCTCAAGGAAAACTTAGAGGTCTGTCAAAAAGCCTACCGCTGTTGGTCTTTGTTTCCTAACGTGTACAGCAGCGATACGGCCCACTTGAGATCATGTTGCTTTTTAACTGAGTCACAGGGAAAGAGTATTTTCAACTGCTCTCTGGAAGAGTTCATGCCCTGCTCCATCCTCCTTAAAACATGTCCTAATCTTAGCCCCACGCACAGCAACCTGCTGTTCCTCAGATCTCATTGGCCCTTTTCGCAGGCTCTCTACTGATGTCTACACCCATTCAACCTCCACTCCTCTCTAGCCCATAGGTTTCAAGGTTATTTCTTTGAGTGGTGAGGAGGGCTGTGAGTGGCATGAAGTGGTACTGAGATCAGAGGACAAGCCTGGGTGTCATCCCTCAAGCTCTTTCCACCTTCCTGTGAGACAGGCTCCCCTAGTGACTGGAACACTTCATCAAGTAAGCCAGGCTTCAAGCCAGTGAGCTTCAGGGATCAACTCGTCCCCACATCCTCAGCACTAGGGTTAGAAGTGGTGTTACTGCACCTAGCTGCTTGTAAGGTTCTGGAGATCTAAGCTCGGGTCCTTATGTTCACAGGGCAAGTACTTTACTCACAACCATCTCTCCATCCCTCAAGGTCATTTTCACGATAAATAATTTTTCCCTCCATCACTAGCTTCCTTTCTCTGACTCTATGTGTCTGTGTTTGACTACCTAACAACTTTGAGATGTGTAAGCAACAAACACAAGAAACTGCACACCCCAAAGCCTCCTGAGTCTTTACTCTTCCCCATGCTTGCCTTCACATTCCAGGTAGCTATTCAATCCAGGAATCTACCATTCATAGAATCCCTACTCTCCCCTTTTCTTACATATCCTCACAACCCTAAGTCTAACAGAATCACCTAACTTCTATCTTCTATCCTAGTGAGTTGAGGAATATCTAAGTGGTTTCCCTGACTCTACTCCTACTTACTTGGGTCACAGCAAAGTGGCCAAGCAAAGAACAAGTCGAACCACAGCATCCCAGGGTCTTCCCACTACACTCAGGAAACCATTGCACTGACCTGACCCAAATCACATCAACCCCAGCTTCCCCTCCCACCTCTTCCCTAATCTTCCATACACCTCTGTGACTTTTGTGTGTGTGTGTGCCCTCCAACAAAATGCGCTACGCTGTTCTCCCTTCAGGTCTTCTCCCTCAGAAGTTGTATAGTGCAGAGGGTTTAATGCACACAGCTGACTGCTCCTTAATGTTCACATCTCAGTGTTCCTGTCTTTTCAGGAGCCCTTCCGTCAAAAACCCAATTTAAACCAGTCAACCAATCCTAATGCTCTACTTCAAATGCCAGCGTAGCACTCAGGATAAACTGGTATCTCTTTGATTCTTTTTGCTTGTTTACTATGCCTCCTTAGCCACAACACAATGTCTTCATGAAGAAAGACCTTAATGAAGAAACATGTCTTATTCATGTCCATATTCCTAGTCCATTGGATAGTGTCAAGCAGATAACAACTGCTCATTAACTGACCTTGGGTAAAATGCTTCAAGACCTCAAAATTCTGTTCCTGTAAAACTATTAATCCCTACTTTAGGGTTAAAGTAGTTACATTTCAATTAACACATTTTGAATGATTTTTCCCCTAGAAACACTTGGTAGTTACATGTCATTTTCTATTCACTCACATAGTTTATGAAATCTATCTGCAATTTACCAAAATTGTACTGGCATTTTGCTAGTAAGAGAATTTGAAATTCATCCATAAAACTTAAGGTTTGATTGTTGTCTCTCATCCCAGTAATAAATTCCAGAACATCCAACTTCTGAATACTGAAGGAGGGACACTGTTACTTAACTCTTCTCATTTTTAGAGAAGATTGAGAGGCATAAAGTGGTGTGGAACCTTCTGACATAAATGGTCCCTGAACTAGCATTAACTAAGTCAAGCAACTGACTACAAAACAGACCTGGTAACCAGAGACACCCCAGGAAGATTGCCCATGTCTCTGAATGGACACATAAGGCTACTAACCATTTCTTCATCTCTGTCTTCTGCATCCTCCTTGGAGTCAGCTTTCAGAGATAATTTTGGTTTTTTCTTCCGGCTACACTTAGGATCCTCGTCCTCATTGTCTTCACCTCCATCTCTTTCTTCCTTCTGATCTCTGTTGTGTTTATAAGCCCAAAACAGTGACAGAAAACAATACCTATCAAATATCTACATGTTGATTATTGATGAAAAGAATCACTCCCCAAAGGAAACATTTAATTACTAAGAGAAATCCACAGATATTATCATATTAAAATGTGATTAAAATCATGTTGCATAGATCTTTCTGGGTAAAAACTAGAAATTATTTTATCTATTAACTTCAAAAGGGAACTATCAATGTATGTAAAATGGGTTCTAATGGGTTTATAATTACTTGTCTCTCCTAATAAAAGAATCCATTATGTAGAGGTATATATTTCCAGGGCAATTTGAAACCAAGGGACTAGCAATTTTAAGACTGGAAATCCAGTAGAAAAAAAATACAATTACAAATTTGTAAAGAATCCCTTTGCCAATACAAAACAATTAGCAGTTTCTATATTAAACACAAAAGTCAAGGGGCTGGAAAGATGGTTTAGTGGTTAAAAGCAATGGCTGCTCTTCTAGAGGACACAGGTTCAATTCCCAGAATCCACATGGTAGCTCACAAGTGCCTGTAACTACAACTTTAGGAAGAACTCATGTCATCTTTTGGCCTCTGAGGCATGCATGTAGTGCATAGACACACTAGACAAAACACCAATAGACATAAAAGATTTTTAAAAAATTAAAGATATAAATGTCAAGTCATTTATTTTGGCCTATGTTATATGCAAGAAACACACCTTTTTGCTCCTAAGCTGTACTTTGTTAGATAGTCCCCAGATGTGGAGGTGGCACAACATTTACTATATGTCCACTAAGGTCATCCTTCAGGGACTTATTACATTATCTACTATGGACATTTCCACAGGGGACCTTGGTTCCCTTGTGGAAGTAAACAAGTGTGTTGTCATAAATATCAGTACTATTCAAATGTGCACATAGGTCAGAAACACCTAAGCACTCTTCACTGGAAACAATCAAATTAATGGTAACAGTGGTTGATTACAGAGACAGAACATCACTACTAGGATAGAAATTTTAGAGAAGGCACTAGATTCAATGAAGGGGGTCAAGAGTCATGTGTTACCAGAGGAAAGCCTACCAAACAGGTCCAAAAGGGAAATGGATGTCCCACAGCACACTTAATCCTCCATTTCCTCAGGACACTATGATCTGCAGATCTGACCATTTCTCAGATGGAAGAGAAAGAAACATACTTGTCTTTGACACGCCGAGCACAATTCTGGCTGCAATAGTTTCCTCCAGAAAGACACTCATCTCCATTGCCGTACTGACAGCAGTTCTCACAAAATTGAAGCCCATCTACTTTTGATTGATCCTTCAACCTGAATGATGCCCCAGTCTTCTCTGAAAAGACTAGAAGATGAAAAAGAAGAAGAAATTAAAACCCTGACAGCTGGTACTTCAAACTATATGTGGACTTTCTCTTCTACTAATTTTGTTAGCAACATGATAAAGAATGATGTTTGTTGAATGAATCAGTGATTGAACTATAAAGTTGGGAATGGGGCTAGGCTTGGCAGGAAATCAGTCAAATCACTTCTGTTTAAAAAAAAAATCTAGACCAAGGGCCAGTGTGGTGGCTTTCAACTTCAATCCCACCCTTTGGGAGGAAGAAGATAGAGGTGGATTTCTTTGAGTTTGAGGCCTGCTTAGCCAATTGAGAGTCTATCTCAACAACAACAACAAAAATCACCAAAAAGAATAAGCAAAAAACTCACTCGAGACCTTGGCTTTTCTCAGAGTTCAAAATAGAATGAAAAAATTTCATTAGTTACTGAATTCCAGATCTAATGTATAGGTGACTCTTGGATAAAGCTAAAAAGGTTGTCTAAGTTACTTCTTGTTTATAACATTTTGATGAGTGATTTTTATTTAATTGACTAAATCAACACATGTAATTTTTAAATGTAATTGATCTCCTGGATCATAATTACCCAAATCATTTAGGAACTCCCATTTCCTTCTGCCTGAATCATTCAGCAAACATTTATTAGGCACCAATTTATGCTGGACACTGATTATGTCAGTACAGACCTCGCCCAAGACAGCTCACAGTCTAGAAGAGAAGCCATACAAGAAACCTAGGACTTGGAATCATGTGGGATGCATGCAGTCATAGAAGTACAAGCAAGTTCTAGGACCACAGAAGAAGAGGGACTCATTCAACCAGGGGTAAGGTCAGCAGGGATTTTCTGACACAGCACCTCAACAGGGCTTTAAAGGCTGAAGAAAAATAGACCAAGAAAGAAATGGCATTTGATCGACAAAAACCAAAAACAAACAAAAAAAATGAAAACAAATGCAAAACCCAGCATGAACAAAGGCAAGGAAGCAGAAGCCATAGGATGATTTGGGAAAATGACAGGTAGGTCTGTACTAGTCGAGGGACCAGAGCACAACACACAGAGTAAGGGATAACGTGGGTAAACAAGGCAAGCAGATATGGGTGCAGGCCACCAGACGTTTGAAGGCTTGGCTGGGGTGGCAAAGAGAAATTAGTCAAGTAACAGGTGAGCAGTCTACACAAGTTCCACTGACGTCAGGGTGCAGGATAAATTGGAAAGGGGTGAGTTAGAAGCATCGATTATTTAACAGGTTTCTGCAATAGTTTCAGGGAGAGTTAGAGGCCTGGATTAAGGCAGCGGCGGTGACAACAGGAAAGGCCAGATCTGAGGCTTATTTAGGGAATAAAAACCAAGAGCATTAGGGAACAGGGAGTGGGAGAAACAAATGCAGGATGACCCCTAGACTTCTGGATTAAGCACCAGGTAAATGGCGCTACGGTCAGCTGACATATGGGTTATGGAGGGAAGAGTAGGCTTAGGGGAAGGGAGAAAGAAAAAGAAAGTGACTTGCATTTCAGACATGTGGAGTTTGAGGTACCTGTGGGACATCCAGGTGGAGATGTCCAGTAGGCAGGTGGAAATACGGGCCTGGAGCTCGGGGGGGAGGTCGGGGCTGGAGATAATAGATTTTGGAGTCATCAGCATATAGGTGTTAGTTACAACCATCGGAGTAGATGAGAAAAAAAAACAAACAAAAAACCAAAAGTGCCAGGCATTTTGGCTAAGTCACCTAGGTAGGCCATTAGCAACTTGGATTTACTTGATAATTGGCAACTGACCTCATGCTATTACAGATCTGGCATTAGAAATAAGACAGTGTATAACTATTTTAAAATGTAAAAATTCGTTCCTGTTTGGTCCATTACAAAAATTTATATAGGGACATGAGACAAAAGTAATCCAGGGCTTTCAAAGTATGGCCCGCCTATAAAAGCTTAGACAGACCAATTTTAAACCAGTCATTAAGAAGAAGTCAGCCGCGGGTGGGCTGGCCTTACCCTCCTGAGCAGTTGGGACCATCCAAGTGGTGGTGGCAGTTGCTTTCTTGACACTGTCCATCTCAGTGTCATCTGTGATAACTTCCAAAGCTCCGAACTCATTCACCCTAAACTGGCAAACAACATGGGAGAAAAAAAAGTGACATTTACAAAATTCCTCAGGGCATTATTCATTTCATGACTGACACAGGGTCTTTAAGCAAATTAACTATGCGCAAAGAGTTAAACAGTCACCGGGCGGTGGTGACACACGCCTTTAATCCCAGCACTCTTTAATCCCAGCACTCGGGAAGCAGAGGCAGGCGGATCTCTGTGAGTTCGAGGCCAGCCTGGTCTACAAGAGCTAGTTCCAGGACAGCCTCCAAAGCCACAGTCTCAAAAAAACAAAAAAACGAAAAAAGAAAAAAGAAGAAAGAGTTAAGTAGTCACATCCTGGGTAAGCTTTTTAGTAACCATAAGCCCTTTCATTTTATGAATTTTGGACTGAGGAAGAATAGGCCAAAGCAGTGGGTGTCATTACAGCTGCGTACTTTTATTTGCCATCTCAGACATCTTTTACTAAGGCTTTTCTTCATCTAATACTAGTGTTTATTTAGCAAAGCCACTAAAGGGGAATTCTCCCCCATGGAATGGATTCATCTCACTAAAGCTGACCTAATTCAACGAGAAGGACATAATGGCCTGTCACCTTCCTCCTTATAGTCCAAGATGAAAATGCATAAACCATGAGATATCCCCTCCCCAGGGCCCCACTTCCCTTTTCTTTCACAAACCTCAAAAATGCTCCATGAATCTCAGTCCCAGTTTCCCAAAGAACTGGGAAGTAATGGAGAAAGAGCTGCAAGAACTGAATAAGTATTCACCATGCTATTTCATCACTAAAGAGAAAGGGAGTTCTCGTTCCTGGTCCTACAAGCTTCCTCTCATTTCATGGCAACTGCAGATAAAGCGGGTTTCTGCATCAACCTGCTCATATTTATGTGGAAGACTTAATTGTAGCACGAGTTCTAATAGGTCTTAATAATAAAAACTCGGAGTCAGATATCTGGGTAAATGCTGAAAGGTCAGAAAGCAGCCAACCACTAAAGAGTTCATACTTCCACCAATGCTCAGACCAAAGGGGTGATCCTGTCCCCAGACTACCTGCCTCAGACTGCCTCTGAGATCCTGTCTCCTCATGCCTTGTATTCCTCTCTCCACTCAGCCATATCACTCCTGTCTCCACCACAATACCAAGTGCTGGGATCACCTTCGAGGGAGCTCTGTTTCTCTTTTGGACAGATTCAATCTCAGGTATCCCAGGGTGGCCTTGAACTCACAGAGATCCATCCGCTTCTGTCTCCCATATGCCGGGATTAAAAGTGTGTGCCACCACTGTCTAACCTCTATAGCTAACTAATAGTTCAGCTTTGCACTCTGATCTTCGGGCAAGCTTTATTTGTTAGGTCACAAACAAAATATCCCCCCCACTTAATCGCCACTGTTGTACTATGCCAGGGATGCTGTTCTTTCGCAGATTCAAGAATTCACAGATCTAAGTGTTTTCTTCACTCCTTCTAGTTTCCATAAATCAGAAAAGCACTCAGGATCCACAGGTGTTAACAGAGAAAGAAGGGCAGAAAGCTCAAACAGGAAAGACAATATAAATGTTTCAGATCTTTCACTCTGTTGTATTTTCCACACTCGCTATATAAAATTATTAAATACTTTCCAGAATGAATGAATTGAAATAGTTCAGCAACGTGAGCATGTTTTCTCCCTATATCCTGAATACAAATTCATAAGCCATGTGTGTAGCATGCCTAGTGTCCATGTCAGTTTAGAAAATGGCAAAAGTCTATTTTGTGGACAACACTAAAAATAACAACTGGAAAAAAAAAAAGAAAAGAAACAGAAAACTTAGAGGCAAAAAAAAAAAAGAGCTTAACTAACAATTCTTCAAAATAAGGCTGACAGTACCATCTACTGGGCAAGAGCAGATAAAACAAGCTACTAAGATCATTATTTAATGATATTAAAGAATGTGATACAAAAATCAATTCTCGGTTCAGATTTTCTTTTTAATAGGCGCAAATGATGATTCACTGACGATGAGTAATTCTGCTCCATGACTTGCTGCTATCCATGCTGATGTATGCTTATTTGACAAATGTAAGACGTGAGAAATAGCACCAGACATTTACAGTAGACAGAAAAGACTGTAATGGCTGCTATACTGGAAACCACCCTGCATTATAAATGCCTGAGAGAGGACATCAGGACAGACCTCTGGGTGAAGAGTGGAGGCCCAACACTTGCAAGGGTTTGGCTCAAATACCTTTAAAGTGAAAAGGTTCCATCTCTCCGAATGAAACGTTTAATCTTGGCCATCTTCCTCTGCTAACATTAACTACCATAAGTGACAGTCTAAATACAAAGTAGGCATGCAATGTCACCTTGGGACACCAAGACCAGCCCGAAGCCAGAGACCAAGCACTGCCATGCAAAACAGGGGTAAAATAAAGTTCTGTGCACACTTGTGGAACTAGGGTTCAGAGACTTCACTGTACCTTGAGAGGCACCCTAAAGCTCCAGAACTTGGAACACACCTGTTCCTTCTTACAGTCACTCAGCTCAGAAATCAAAACCCTCAGAGAACTTTTTGAGAACCCTACTCTACGGAAGAAAGCTGGAGGAATTGCACTTTCCTGTGGCTTCTCAACTTGGATTTTGTATTTTCCATGACATTCCCAGTGAAAAGACATGCTAGGAAGAATGGGTATGCCGACATAACTGGAGGTCAACATACACAATTCCAAAAAGATCGATGCACTTCCTGTGTTTCCCCAGCTGAACACCTGGGCCCTCGATGCTTTTATGAATGGCTCTGACATGATATAAAACTTCTCAAGTGTTCTATTCTCCAACTGAGAATATCAAATTAAAAGCTTCACAAAAGTAACTCATTAAGCATTAAGCAGGACAAACATAAAGTTAGCATGGCAGCTTTTTCTACTTATGAATCTACCCAGGTCAGTGAAAAGAAAAAAAAAAAGAATTATGCCTCAGATATCTGCAGGGTGGCAAGGTTTTGCTTATTTGGCTTGGCCTGAGGCACTTTAATTGTATACTCTTTTCTTTATTTTTGCTTCTGGGGGCAAAAGCCCCTTTTCCTCTTTTGGAGTCTCTTTAATAATAGACCACCAAAAGACACTATTGAGATGATGATTTCCATTCTATTACTTCTCGATGTTGAAACCCAAATCCTAATTGCCAATGAATTTTAAGGGCAAAGATGCTTGGTCACTAAATTGTTTCAAACATTAATCGAGACAAGGCGAAGCCATGCCCTACAGAGAGGGGCTGCATTTAGAACTGGCTTCTGTCTGGCTGTTTGCAGATCTTGCTCTCTGATGAGGAGCAATTATTCTTCCTAGATAAGATGCTATCACTCTCAGGGGAGCATCTGCGTTTTACTGAGGTACTCTAAGAGACTAACTCCTTCTGCCTCAGAGGACTAAATCTCCCTGAAGAAATGTTTCGGCCGCCATTAGAAATTCAGGTAGAGAAAGACGTGTGGGAGCCCCGTCAGGTACCTTTATACTGCTACTTGGTGAGCCGCCTCTCCTGCAGCTAACCTGGAGACTTTGTGCTACTAAAGCTTATTTGCATTTTGTTTTTTAAATTAATTTTATTTAAATTAAAAATAATCCTATTTTACATACCAATCCCAGCTCCCTCCCCCTCCCATCCTCCCATGCTTATTTATCTGCATTTTAAGAGAACAAATTAGGTAACTGTAAAAGTTCTGAAGCTTGTTTAGGCAGAAGTGCGGGGATAAGGACCACAATCTTTCTGGACTGGCAGCAGGCACTTGTCCTTTGAACACTTTGCGGCTGCAGTGTTCCTGACTCTGGAAACTTTGCTCTGCTGTCTTCCCAGGCACCTTCCAAGATGTCTTCACAAAGGGCATTTCCAACTCAAATGACACCTGACTTTTGAAGGCTCCCTGGTCCTTCCTGCTGAAGGAAGTCTCCACTACTCTAAATGAGTGCAGTTTTCCTTGTGTCTGATGATCTGAGCATGCTCTGGCTTTAGACAGCAGTGCACGAATGTTAAGAGAGTCAGTTTCAACCACTGCAGTCTCCTCTGCCCCAGAGCAGCAATAAGTGACAAAAGACAGGCAGAGGGCCTTAAAAAAAGAATGGGATACAATGCAGGCAAGGTGCTCCCTCAGAGGGTTAAGTTCCTGTTTCTCCCACCTCTGCACCCAAAAGGATGTTTGCACTTTATTTCAAAGAATTATGGCCCAGTGTGGAGAGGGCAGAACAGACCAGTGACAAGACAGGAAAATGTCCCCAAGATAGGAAAGAAGGAGAAAACAAAGAGGCACTGAGGTCAAAGGCAATGAGGCCAGAGAAAAGTAGGGGTCAGAAAAGCAAAAGCCTTCAGGAACTCAAACTTGGACAATGGTAATTGCTCTCGAAGTTTAACCAGAAAAATGGCAATGTAATTAGCCAGCAACCACCAGGCTGTCACAAAGGAAGGTTCTTTCAAGGTGGCAAAATCCACAGAACATTAAACCTGTTCACACAACGGGAAGCTGACCTCTACCTGACAGGCCAGGCTGTATCGGTTGGCTAAACTTCAGTTGGAAGACTTAGGTACCAACTGTTAGGAAATTCAACATACTTCTAAATACACTAACCATTAAAAAGCAGCAGCCTGTGTAATGTAAAGTCCCCAGCATGACACGAAGAAGCAAATTTTATTAATTATTCAAAGTGTTAGCATTTTAGTTTAGCAGAAAATTATTTTCTCAACCTCTTAAACAACCAAGATTTTGATGTAAGAAATGCTACAGAATATAGCCAATTGAGATGGTGCTGTGTGACAAAACTTTTCCCAGGGAGTCACAATACACACATCTACTCATTCCAGATAGGGAGCCCACAAGAGACCAAAGTACAGACACTATCAAAGTTCAACTTGGTGAACAAAAATTTTTATTGGGGTTACTCTCAGAAGCAAAAAAATTACTTCAGACAGCTGCGTCACCAAAGCCTACCCCAGCACGGGTGACAGGTCACAAAGCTGGGAACCTGGAGTCCACTAAACAGCCTGCAGGCAGCTCATCAGTTTGGAGGGTGTCCTTCCTAGGTGCCTTTGTTGATTCAAACCTCCTCCAGGGAGCTCTGTTGGTTTCTGCTTCTTCCAGGCAGGTGGCCTTCTCTGGTTCTTTTGCAGCTCAGCTTGTCTGAGAGTTTCCTCTACAGCCTGACACTTCTCCTTGGAAAGGGACTCTCAGTTTTTACTACTTATTCTGGCAGGGAGAGCCCTAGCGAATCTGTTCAGTTTCAGGGACTTCCTGAAGCTATTTGAGTTATTTGCCTTCCTGCTTAGGGTATTTCCTGCAGGATGGTATATTTAAATCTCAGAGGAAACTGTTACACAGCAGATGGGCTATGAATGTCATATTAAAGGGTTATAAATAATATAGCTTGTGTGTGAGAGACACAGACAGACGCGAGAGGTATATGGGAATGTTGTATGCACGCACACGCTGGTGCACAAACCATCCATGCCATACAGAGGCTAGAATGTCTATGTCCTGCCTTGTCACTCTCCTCTTTATCACCCATCTCCTTGAGAAAAGGCCATTCTCTGAATTCTGTGTTTTTCCACTAAGTCGTAGCCCCAGCTCCTCAAATTATTTGTTAAAATGAGGTACCAAACTGTCTACCACTCATGAAGTATATTGGACACATGGCAATTACCCCAGTAATTATGTGAGTATAAAAATCATATCAAATAACCCTGATTATAATACTCCAAATGACTTAATTATCTTATTATCTTAATAAAAATAATAGGTTAATTTCTAAAATCCACTGCTTAGAAAACTTTAAAGCAATCCAGATTTCTTAGGGATGGAAACTCCCCTTTGTTACCAAAAGCTAACTAAAAGAAAGTTATAAATTTCATCATGTACTCTGACATGCAAGATTCATTATATAGTGAAAATGCACAAGAAAAACAGAAAAGAACAGTTTCCATAATAGATTGCAAAGTCAGAAAATGTGCACCCTAAATACTTGTCTACAATCTTTCTCAATCCACAACTCCTTTTCACAGTTGTGGATCTTTTGGGTCTTAACAGCTCCCATTTTTTTTTTCAGATAAAGCTTACAAAATGTAAGGTTTTTAAATAATCAGTCCCAAGCTTATTTCTTATTAATTATGTATATGTGGCTGGGATTGGAAGGCTGTGAGTGCAAATAGCCTTGGAGTTGAGACTGTTGGATGCCCTGGAACTGGCCTTCCAGGCCATTGTGATCTTCCCAACCACACTAGAGTTCCCTGCAAAAGTAACTCTCAAGTGCTGAGCTAACTCTCCAGTCCATGAGTTTACACAACTTGACATGGCTAATATATGGTCGACATTATCAGAGCTTGAAAATTTGTTTATTTGTTTTTCAGTTAAAAAAAAATTTAGCCTTCCATGCCCATCATGTCTCATGAAGATAGACACTTGGAGATTATTAAAGCAATCCAAATCCTATTTGTTCTTGTATTTATTTTACTGCAGAACAATCTTGGCCCAGAAAGATTAACTTATTCCATAACTGTCATCACACAAAACTAAAACAAAATTTCTTCTTCTTAAGTGAACTCATAAGTTTTAAGTGAACTCACAGTATGTGTGCATATTTATGAGAACCATGTACCATTTCCACAGAGACATATAACATGTAATGTTCAGATGAGGAAATTAGCTCTCCTACTTCCTCAAAATCTCCATTTCTAGATGTTAAGAACCTTTGTAATCTTCTTTTTTTAGTTATTTTAGAGTATACCATGCATTAGTTTAGACTATAGTTGCCCTATGGTATAAAAGAACACCAGAATTTAAAACCTCTGACTATATGTTGGTACCCATTTAAGAAACAAAACCTCACTGCAATGGTTTTGTTTCCTTAAACTCATACAGTGCCACTTTGTACTTAATTAAACCTAAGCCAACTAAAATCTCAAACATTTTTCCAGCGCCAGGCAGATGTTTAAATTGTGCCCCTGAGGATAAGTGAAGGCAGGGACTTGGCTAAGATATTTGTCAAGCAGCCATCAAAAGGATTAGATTTCAAGAAGCCTAAGTTAGGAGCAAAATTTTCCTATTTGAGAAAGCACAGAACATCAAGTATTATAGAGACAGACCAAGAGACAGCCTGTTAGAGAGACAGGAAGTTTAAACACCTAAATGACTGAGTACAAACACAAAGTCTAAAAGGTCACAGACCGGTTCAAGGTCCCTGAGATAAGAGTACAGCTAAACCAAATCAGAAATGAGAAGTGGGGCAGTTTGAGCTTGCACAACTGTGTTTTGTGAAGCAGCAGACGTGGTCCTGATGGAGATTCCGTGGGGCAGGAGACACGTGACAGGCAGCACATCCATAGAAGGCAGACAGAACCCCATGAAGAATAGAGACAGTGGCAGACAGCACATGTACAGTGAGGAGACTCAACTCCAGGAAGAAGGGAGACACATGGTGGCCTACACATTACATACACAGTGAACACACTGAACCCCATGGGGAGTGCAGACACATGATAGGCTACACATACACAGCGAACAGACCGAGCCTCACGAAGAGTGGGTACACACAGTGGACTAGCGCATTTATAGTGAGTAGACTGTACCCCATGGAGAGTGCCCTCTATATAAGATCACAGGCTGAAAAAACTCATATTCATAGTATAAATAATTTTAAGGCAGTGAATACTCCTATTGATTCAAATTTTCATATTATTTTACCCAGTTTCCATATAAGAACACTAGGACCCCGGGGATGTGGTTATCCACTCAATGCTACAAAGCCATTCCTAAAATATCAAAACAGCTAGACCTTCTAGGACTGTCATTTCCATATATATGACCATATCATAATAGAGCCCATGCAGATAGATGATCCTCCTCAGAGCTAACTGATTGATTTTTATAAACTAAGGACATTCTAAAAACATTCTTCTGTCCCCTAACACAAGTGACAAAACAAGACAAACTACCAGTATTTCAAGTTATTTTACAAAATTACCGAAGAAGACCACATAAAGTCATAACTATATTTAATGGTTTGAATTCTTACTTCATGTAGGAAGTCACTGTAAATGAGCTCACATGCAGATACACACAACTTACAATTTGTACATGATAAAGAAAACCTACCTTTAAGTCACTTCCTGGCAAGGTACCAACTCCATCCTTCCAGTCCATAACACTGAACACATCAAACTCTTGACCACTTGCGCTAGATGCAGATTCAGTCATGATTTACTTTTTCAATCTGGAGCAGGAAAAAGGGAGAATAAATATTTCACATGCATGTCAATTCGATTTAGTGACCATTATTACTTATTTCTTTTAATTACATTATTTTCTTGATTCATCCATCTAAAAACAACTGCTTCAAAAGTCTCCCTAATGGGGCTGAGCACTGGTACAGGACTTGCCTAGCATGCGTGAGGCCCTCCAAACCCTGATATACTATGTTTCTGTTTTACTTTGTGGTGCTAGAAACTGCAACCAGAGCTAGGAGAAGCACTCAATCCACTACTGAGTTTCATACAATGTTTTTCCCCAAGCATACATTCCTACAGTAAAGTTTAACTTATAAATTAGACACTGTAAAAGGTTGAGAACAACTGTCAGTGACATGATTTTCTTCCTTTATTAAGGTGAGAGTTTCCACCTTTTATTTAAACAATGAATGACTTCTTGGCACATTCAAGTCACCAGTATCAATGCTCTTGCAGTTGGGCATCAATGCTAAGCAAAATGAGGTTTACTTGAATACAAGCACTGTAAGGCTGGACAGTCAATCTGGTAACTGAGACAGTCATCACCAGGTACATAAGTTGGGGAGAGGTGTAGTGTATATATACATAGTATGGATTTGCTGGACCAAAAGGTGACTCCTTCCTAAGCAGAGTGAAGTAGCATGGCCTAAGATCTCATATAACGCAGAACAACATTTAAAACTGATGGACTGTTTGTTTCTGGACCGTTCCATTTAATATTTTTGGGCAGCTGTTGTCCTCAGGTAACTGAGCTCTCAGTTAGTATAATCTCAGAACATAGAACCAAAGATAAGGGAACTACTAAATAAAATATGTATTTAAAAGATACTATTTTGGTAGTATAATAAAAGGGAAGTTGAGTCTACTAATCACTGTCATCTATATTAATCTACCAGTTACATATCTGACCTACTAACACAATAATCGTGGATGTGATCTTTTTTTCAGAAAGAGATCACATTTGTTTGACATAGTTGAAGCATCTGCTATGACCCTGACAGCATCCAAGGAGCCAAGACTTTGTCAAGGGCAAGGAAAGGGAGTAATAGAAATGAGAATGAAGATGAAAATACTTAATGAGCTAAGACGAGATTTGGAAGATTTACATAGTTCATTGGAGAAATCGTCTCCAAATGACTAACGTATAATGTTACAACACCGAGCCCACAGGATGGATTGGTTCCAACACTCAGACCAATAAATTTTAATACAGGGTGAAATCTCAGTGATCAGGTTTCAACTGCACAACAACCCACCTTTAAGGTAAACTACCCTTCCTGGAGTTTTGCTGTGATATCAAGGATTCCCACTATTACTGGAAGACTACAAAAATATTCCTCTTTTCCAATCTTGTATCTACACGAACCCAGACTTTCTTTATATACTTCAACTAAAACAACAAACTGGAATAGACTAAAGGCTGAAACTGCTATAAGAGTTCAGCTATCTCCTGTAAAACCAGACAATAGACAGATTTGCAGAGGCTAAAATTGTGCCAACTTCTCTCATATTTATTACTACTATTATTACATATTTATTGCTCTTTCATAAAAATTTTGTTTATATATATTATCATACAGTGAGCTTACTATCATTATTTTTAAATAAGTAATCAAACAATCTATTTTAACACAGTATCAATAAGCATAGGATATTAGAAAAAACACCTACTTGAATCTTCAATCATAAAGGAAATTTGAGACCAAATGATAACCAACAGGCTGAACATGGGACTTAGACCAAAGCAAGGTACCCAACCACAAGACACCAATTCACAAATCTGGTCCAATCTAAATCATTAAAAACATTACTGAACAGAAGAGGAAATATGTAGAGCAACTGACCACCTGATAGTATCAGAGGAATACTTGTATTCCTTTTTTTAAAGGTGGAATTTTTGTTTTCTTTTCTTTTTTAACATTCATTCATTCGTTCATTCATTCACTCATTGTGTGTATATACTTTCAGGGCGCACACATGCCACACTGCATGTGTGGAGGTCTGACAATAACGTGCAGGGAGTCAGTTCCCTTTTTCCATCATGTAGGTTCTGAGGGCTGACCCCAGGTCATTAGATTTGGTGGCACTGAGCCAGCTCTGACCCATCTTTTATTTTGTTTGTTTGTTTTGTTTTGTTTTTCTTGAGATAGGGTCTTGCTACTATGCAGGCTGCAAAGTCATGATCTTCCTGTCTCTACTTCGTATGTGCTAGTATTACAGGTACACTCCACCACACCAGGGAGTATGTTCTTTTTAGTGGGGAGTTCTTTATACTTTAGTGATGCAAACTAAAATAGATAGGTGAAAAGACATGGGAGAAATCTGTCTTAAACTAATCAATGGAGGTACATGGCCAAAGAAAACTGGTGCTGTGCTACGAACCATCCAGCTGTGGGCAGAGTCTTTGGTGACTCATTCTACATCCTCGATTTTACATATGCTTGGAAGAAATAATTCAAGGTGTTTTGCTTTTTCTTTAGACAGAATCTTGTTATGAAATACACTATCCACAACTTGCAATGAAGCCCAGACTGGCCTTGATCTTATCCCTCTGCTTCAGCCTCCCAAATTCTGGGATTCCATGCTTGCTTCACCACTCTAGGCTCAAGACTTTTTAAGTGTGGTCTTTCAACATATGTCACATGCATTTCTAAATGGTATGTAAAAACTGTACTTCTCTGAATGAGACTTTCTTCCACTGAGAATTTCCAGATGTGCCAATAATCTTTCTTCCCCTTTGCTTTAAATAAAATATCAACTAGAAGACATCTGGAGCTGTATGTAGAGTGAATCACAAGAACGAGATCCCACTATTAAGGCTTAATTCTCAGAAAAGGAACTAGGATATGACTGTCAGGGGAGAATTATGAGAAAGTTTGAAAATATTAAATGAATTAAGACTGTTCGGGGTTTCTACTGCAGTAATTAAACACTGGGACCAAAACCAACTCAGGGAGAGGGTTTATTTTATCTTACAACTCTCAAGTCACTCTCCATCACTGAGGGAACTAAAGGTAGGCAGGACTTGAAGCAGAGGCCATGGAAGAGCCCTGCTTCTGGCTACAGGGCCTGCTTTCTTATGTCACTTAAGACCACAGGCCCAGGGGTGATACTGCTCCCAGTGGGCTGGACCCTCCAACATCAATCATTAATCAAGAAAATGCCCTACAGACCTACAGACTGTCCTAACAGCAATCTGATGTAAGCGACTTCTTTTTTTGCTGTTTTTAATTTTTTTTAATTTTTTTTCTAGACAGCTTTCTCTACGTAGCCCTGGTTATCCTGAAACTCACTCTGTAGACCAAGAAGGACTTGAAATCATAGAGAGCCACCTGCCTCTGCATCCTGAGTGCTAGGATCAAAGGTGTGCACCACCACCACCCAGCTGGATATGATTTCTTAATTGAAGTTCCTCTTCTCAGATACCTAACTTGTGTCAGGTTGACATAAAACTAGCCAGAACATGCTGGGAGTTGGTGGTACATGCCTTTAATTCCAGCACTTGGGAGGCAGAGAAAGGCAGATCTCTGTCAGTTTGAGGCCAGCCTGGTCTACAGAGGGAGATCCAGGACAACATCCAAAGCAATACAGAGAAACTCTGTCTCTAAAAACAAAAACAAAACAAACAAACAAAAAACTAACCAGAACAGACTTGCACTTAAACTATGAATGAAACACAAAATGAACTAAGATTGAAATTCAGGATTTCATGAAATGGACTAAGGTTCTAAGATTGCAATGGTACTGGCTCCCTTTGAAGTCATGTAAGAATGGTGTTTTTCTAATCACTTTCCCTTGCTAGGTAAATAGCAAGCAAGCAGGGTGTTTGGTTTTCCCTTACCTAAAAGCCATGCAAGTACAAACACCACAACAGTAGAACTCAACTTGTCTGCAGCTAGAAGAAATCTGGAAGTTGGTACTCTATGAAAGCCATGGTAAATATTCACTGTACACCTTATGAAATGCCTGCATGTGCTTCTGTTTCATACAACATCAATATTACATAGTAAACACTGCCCTCACCACCCATCAGCACTGGTGAATACTGTCTCCATTCACCCCTTCCACTCTAAAGTCAGGGGATATATTCTCTAAGCTATTGTAGTCAAAGACACTTACTACACTGTCTTTCCCATCACCTAATTTTGAAGCTACTGGCTACTTTGTTACAAGTCTGACTAGCTACAACAGATTAAGTGTTTTCCCACCACCTACCAATCATGAAGAACAGCGGGCAACCAACACTGCTAGCAAAAGTTGTTGATTTGACACCTAAGACTGTTTTGTTTTCCTCTTCCCTGTGCACATGGACACACAAATACACAAAGGACTTTCCTTCCTGTGCCTGAGGTGCATGCCACTTTTCAGCATCCAGAAAGGTTGTAGATTTGCTTATTTCTTTAATTACTACTTGATAGTATTCCCTAATTCTATGTATAAGGTAAACTATATCTTCAAGGGAGATATATGTGCTCTCTCTCTCTCTCTCTCTCTCTCTCTCTCTCTCTCTCTCTCTCTCACACACACACACACACACACACACACACATACAGAGAGAGAGAGAGAGAGAGAGAGAGAGAGAGAGAAGAGAGAGAGAAAGAGAGAAAGAGAGAGAGAGAGAGAAGATAAAGCCGCAAACAGCATCTCACTGTATAAGAATGCCCATCCCAATCTCTTGGGAAACAGTGCTGAGGTTTCCTAAGGAAGCACCATAGAGGGGCACCATGATATGTGCAACCAGGAAAGATCTAGCATTTTCTTGCTAAGATGCCTTTCTCAAGCTTTCCAGCTACTAATGATGTTAGATGGGGCAGTATGGGGGTTCAGATGGCCACCAAATATACCAGTGAAGTTTTTGATTCCCAAAAGCCTATATGGCCTACTGGCCATGACTATAATCAAGGGCACTGTTGCCCAGCACTCCTGTCCAGTGATTACTATGGATGGATGCCTCATTAAGAAATGGATGGCACTTGCTGAAGTAAAGGGTTATTACTGCTGGCACTGATGCCATACATTACAGTCCCAAAGTCCCCCTGTGTGTTCAACCCACTTCAACTCTTCCCACTCATGTACAATCTTTCTGACAAAGCTTCCACGTTAGGGTGATACAGCAAACTAAATGACAAGTGGCACTATCCTCAGAATTACCTCCTGTCTTTCTCTTTCCTCTACCACTTCCTGGTCTCCAAACCAAAGCTGTACAACTTGACCCTCGCTTGAGATCATCTACCTATTGAATGGACCACCTCAGATTCTCATGTGAGCAAGTATCTGGCATCCCTAGGCTAATTAACCTTTCCCACGACGTGTAAATAAAACTACTCCATTTAGATGCTAATAAAACCAGATTTTTTTCTTTTCTCATTTGTTTGTTTTGAGAGGAATATGTGTACTGAGATTGAAACTGAGGCCTCATACAAACCTCTGGGTAGGCAAATGTTGTCACCAGTTAGTATCTTATATTCAAAAACCCCATGCTAAGGGGCTAAGGATATAACTCAGTGGTAGAAAACCCCCAGGACAAAACAAACAAATTAGTAAAAAACAAATGTTTTATGTTATGAGGCTGGAGGGGGCTGGACCTCTTACAGTCATTGTAAGTTAAAACTGCTATGGACGAATAACCCAGACTTTATCAGCCACCTCTGTAAGTCTACTTCTAGAAAATCATCCTATGAGATACTTCTCTATGTATAAAATGTTTAACAGCCCACGGGTTCACAATGGGTAGAGTGTTACAATTCTATGCCACAGTATAAAATGGCACAAGGAAATTCTCTACTCTAATATAGAAATAATTCAAGGCATGGTTAATATGACTAATTTTAAGCTAAGTGCAAAAAAAAGGTGTGCTACCCTTTGTGTAGGAAATAAGAAGCATGCATTGTGTATGCTCGTAAACTATTTTTAGAAGGATCTGTCCAGAAACTGGAAAATCCAACTGTGTCCAACAACAGCCATGTTGACTGTTCTCTGTGTATCTATCAAAGTTAAAACAATGCATTAAAAAGTATTATGTAAATACAATATATAAATGTTAACTTCTGCTTCATGCTTATTTGAAAATATATTATAGAAGGCATGTGTTCCCATGAAAATATTTGCTGCTGTTATCAACAAGAGAAAGCACGATCTAGAAGTCACTGAGGGGGAATAAGTCCTCTGAAGCTCACAGTAACTTACTGAGAAGTATTGGTGCAAAACAGACGGAGAGAGGAGGCACATAGGGTTTGCTCCTTCATGAGGACCATATGCATCCCCGGACCCAGCACTCACAGCTCCCAGCATTCCTGAGCAACACCTGCAGTTCTGGTGACATTTCCTAGTCTATCCTTCCTCAGAGATGCAGTTCTGAATCTTTTCTGCAATAAAGCTTAAGGGCAGGAGCACATCGCCAAGCCTGGCCAAGGGCCAGGTGAGCTCTTAGTCACAGAGCTTATTCTTATATTCTTACTGCTGCGAACACCGCAAAGAAAATGATTTTAAAAAACAAACAAACAAACAAAAAACTTTAACAAACCAAACAAGCACACTTAATCGCTAGTTGAGTCCAGTGTCAAAGACAGAATAAAGAGAATATAGAAATGTTTATGAAAGTCATAGGCCCTGGCCACAAGATAGACTTTTCGGATAAATTGAAGACTGAAATGTCAGACGCAATGACTCAGACACAATGTGTGAACACAGCGACTAAGCGTTCCAAAAGGAAATCAGGAGGAAAGATGTGCAAATTTATTTCAGATAGTGCTCAACACCATAAAGATCACTCAACAAGTGAGATGAATACTTAGGGTCTGGAGAGATCAGTTCGGTCCTACTTTAGTGATCTTACAGAACTTAGGTGCTACAATTTTAATTTTTTTCTTTTTTTTACAATTTGAGAATTGAAGTTGGCTTGGGATCCACCCCTCACAAATGTCATGAATCTACTCATCTCACTTCGACTAAACACAAGCAGGGCTCTTCGTGATCTCCTTTGAAGCCACTTGTTTGCTCTTTCTGTCATGAGCAGATAAAAGGGAGGCGTCTTGAGAGCAGCAGAAGCTCCTCCTATAGGGCCTGGAGCAGAGTCTGAAGGGAAGAAACGAGATGGAGAGAAGATAACAGTCCTCTGAAGACAAAGAACACAACCTAGCTGGCTCAGAGCAAAGCAAAAGGGCAGCCCAACTCCCACCGGAAGTCTGCGTCAGCAGATGCAAGGGGCAAACAAGGGTGGCGTGGGTATGATGGCATGGTGTGGAGCTTGGCCATTGATGCTCCAAGTGGTTTTTCTAAAAACTTATATTGGTAAACATGGTAAGCCAGTCAGCATTCATAAAGAGCAGAGACAGGGGCTGGGGACGCAGCTCAGTGGGAAAAGCCTTGTCACCCAAGAGAGAGGCCCAGGGTTCAGATTCACAACATCCTCGTAAATGCCAGGCAGGCATGATACTCCTCTTCTGACCCTAACACTCAGCAAGTGGAAAGAGGGTGACCCCAGAAAAAGCTGGCTAGTCAGAATAGCAGAGCAAGCTGGGGTTCAAGTCAGAGACCCTATCTTAAGATAAAAAAGGTTGAGCCGGGCGGTGGTGGCTCACGCCTTTAATCCCAGCACTCGGGAGGCAGAGGCAGGCAGATCTCTATGGGTTCGAGGCCAGCCTAGTCTACAAGAGCTAGTTCCAGGTCAGTCTCCAAAGCCACAAAGAAACCCTGTCTTGAAAAACCAAAAATAAAAAAAAAGATACAAGATACAAGGTTGAGATTGACTAAGAAAGACATCTGATGTCAACTGCAAGCCTACACACACACACACACACACACACACACACACACACACACATGCACCTGCACACATGTGAGACCACAGATGTGAACACACACATACTACAAACAAAGAGATTTTATAATCAAGCAAACAAAAACACAGATAAGGGCAGGGATGTAGTCCAGCAGTATAGCGGTTGCCTAGAATAAGAGATGCCCTGGATTCAGTTCCTAGGAACACAAAACAAAGAAACAAACAAGAGACCGGTTAAAGAGCACAGTCATTTTATACTTGCTTTCTTTGAAGCTGCATTTCACAGCTTTTCATTTAGCAGATGCAATTTCAAAATTAAGGTCCAGGGATGCTAAGGTTGCAAGCCCAGAGTGGTTATACAATGGGACAAGCGTCACATCAAAGCAGAAACACATTAAAATTCAGAGAACATGATTCAAGGTGTGTGACTCACATGAGAGGCCTGAGATATTACTGCCTAATGCCGATAGACTTATCTTTCTAGGCTTTGGGTAAGAAGACAACATATCTTAATGCCTTATATAGAGAACCAGGAGCACAAAAATCATTACCAGGAACCAAACGAAATGACAATTGTGTAAAAGAGTAACAGGACAATGAAAGGAAGCCACAATCAGAGGCAGGAATCCAGTGCTTTCTGAAGATCATTAGGTGAAGGAGTCCTTTTGTTTCCTTATGGAAATCAATATTCTTGCTGGATGTGATAGTGTATGCATTTAATCCTAACACTTACTGGGAAGGCAGAGGCAGCTGGGTCTTTGTGAGTTCAAGGCCAGTCTGGTTGACGAAGGTTCTAGAATAGATAGGGCTGCATAGTAAGATCCACTCACAAAACAGCAAAAGAAACATGTTAGGTGAGATCTCACATGGCCCCACCCCTAGAGTAGAAGTACAGACAATTAATGACACTCAGAGAGGGGGAATCAGTCTTCCCCAGGGACGAGCTTCCTAATTGGTTATCCAATACCAATACCAAGAAGTCAGCGCTAAAAACATACACATAAAAACAACACTGAATGGACTCAGCAAATTGTATGTATATATGTGTATTCATATTTATACATATATGTGTGTGTATGCGTCTATTATGTGTATGTAACAACAATAATTTTTAAAAAGGTCATGAATTTGAGAGGGAGTGGGGAATCTGAGAGGAATTAGGAGAAGGGAAATAATGTAAATAAAGTATCCATATATGAAATTCTCACATAAAAAGTGTTTTAAAGTGGCACTTCTATTGTTCATAGTTCCTCATGTTCTCACTCTGGAAAGACTACTGGTCGCTTCCCAAAGCAATTCTTCCACCATGATAAAGAAGAATGTGTCAAGGGGAGATGGAAAATCTGGCATCCAGTCCTACTACTACCCAAACTGCCACTGCACTGGTCCGATTGTACTTAAACAAGACTAGAGACTAAAGGCCAGGTAATATGTCCCGCCCAGTCTGCTCCCTCCAAACTGTGTTTTGGAAGCCATTTACGCATGTTAAAAGATTTTGTCATTTAACTGAAATCCCTAGCAGCCTTTGGAAGAAGCAAGGCTTACACTGGGAGTCTCACAGCCACGTGGAAGGTGCTCTCTCAATGTTCTCTCCATAGACACTCAGCCTTGGGCTCCAAATCACAGTACATGGAGTTCCACAGATGGCTCACTATGGAGCGTAGGTTTATAGGACACAGCTTATTTATCTTCAGATTACACTGCACTACTAGGATGCTATCTTCAGATCTAGTTCCCAGGTCCCATACATGTGCTGAGATCTGTAGTGTCTAAACCTGGGAATGGCCCCAGCCCCACAGTCCTGTAAGTCCTGTCTTGAGAAAGTGATCCTGAGGAAGATTGGGTCCCTGCATTATAAGACCTTCCTAGGTCTCAGTGATGTTCTACATGTCCCATTCCCCAAAGCACCACGGACACAGGGCCCTCATACACAGGCAAAGTACTTAACAGACAATGTTAGAGGGACACAGACACATTGAGGCAAAAGAGACTCGTGTTAAAGGATGTCACCAATACAAGCTAGCTTGATCTCTATAACTTTCTTTTAAAACTAGAAAGGACTATTACCTCCATTTTAAAAGTAAGAAAATCCAGGTCACTGTGATAAGAAACACTCTTTTTTCCAAGACAGTACTCAATATCTGTTTTTATTTTACACAATGGAAAGTTATGCATCAAATAAATGTGATAAGCAAAGGCTCAGGAGCCACAACCCTTGGGATTAAACATCTTTCTCCAGCTTACTCCAGGCACCACTTTAGGCAGGACATCAGCCCCCGCCTCATCACAGATAGGAATATCTACTTGCCAGGGACATAGGACTTCTTTTTAGTACAGTATTCAAGTTGAGATGCTTTGCACAGTGGAAGGTCATCCAGAAGAAAGGAAAACAATCTATTCTGTACTGTCCATGCTGCTCCCAGCCCGGGGAGCCTAAGTGTTGTAAGCAGTGCAGGACAGGGGATAACTGTGCCAAGACTGATATCACTGCATTATGAATCCCTCTGTAATTATTCAGTCGTTCAGAGGCTGGACAAGAAGCTCAAGGATTCTTGAGATTTCATTTCAAAGAGAATGTGGAAGTTAGTAAAGTCTCCCAAATATCAGTAACTTAGTTTTGCTGAAATCTTTTACTATATATATACACACATATATATAGTAAATATATATATCTTGAAAGTAAATGAACATAATTAAGACCTAACTTCTGAACATTTACCACAAATGAAGCCACCACTGACCTTTCTTTAATATTTATGCTAAGGGAACATTAAAAGTTCTTCTGTGTCAACAAGAGTGCTTATAAGACCCGCTTTCCAGAGAGCAAGTACAAAGGCACCAGAAAGCACCAGCACTGTATGCACTGTGGTGAGAATAGAGGGAGAAGAGAGATAAAGGAGGGGTCCCTCCCAGAGAGCGCTGCAGTGACTACGGGGAGAGGCTCTGCCTGAGCCTCGGGATGTGCACAGTGCACGGGACAACGCCAAGAGAAGAGCTGGCAGACGACATCTGCCCCCTGGTTATAACACCCACGCTGCGGCCTGACCATCTGCAGGCAGGAAGGCTTTGCAGGAGAACTTGATTTGCTAATTCTTAAACTCTCTCAGAAAGACTCGTGGTAGGTATAACGTTCATCAACTGGGTGAACCGGGGATGGGGAGATGGATCGGTTGGTGCAGGGCTGCCCTGTGACCGCGGGAACCTTGGTTCAGATCCCCAGAACTCGTATCAAAAAGCACAGTGGTACATGTTGAAACACAGCAAGATGAGACAGAGGCAGAGAAAGATGAGTCTCTTGGGTTTGTTGGCTAGTTAAATGCCTACTGTACTTGCTGGAAGTTCCAGGCAAATGAGGCCCCGTCTCAAATAAAAGGGTACGGCGCTCTAGTAAACATATGCACGTGCACCTATGCACAGACGCACAGACACACACACACACACACACACACACACACACACACACACACACACACACACACACCAGAGAGATCAAAAAGGAGAGCTACGGATGCAGCACCGAGGTATACTGCTTGCATCGTACATGTAAAGTCCTACATTTAAGCCTCAATACTGAAAAAGGGGGGTGGAGAGTAGAGAGACAACAGACTAGTGGAAGAGAGCACTGAGGAGACCGAAAAGAAATTCACTTATCCATCCATGTCATGTTCTCCATTGAAAAGGCCCAGCTGACAACTCGGCTGCTAAGTACATAGTTCACTGCTTGGCAGAAGCATAGCACTGCTGCTCCAAGAACCTCCCCTCGCTTAAGCGGTAGGAGAACACATCAAAAGAAGTTAAATTCAAACCTCTTAAATGGGCTTATTCAATAAGGATAAGAGAGATCTAAACTCACACTTGAAGCATCTCTCAACAAACACATATTGCTACAAAGAAAAATTTCCCTTTCAAATCAAGCGTGACAGACACCAGCTTTGATATTCTACTCGCCCGGCCTGATAAGAACTCTGAGTTGCACACATATTGGAATTGGGATCTGTAGTGGAGAGATGATAAGTTCTACCCTGAGGGCCCAGGTTCACATATTGCCAGCTGACAGAACTCTAGATTATTATTATGGGAGAACTGAAACGTTAGTACAATCAAGAACCAATCCTTGAGGCTATAGGGCTCCTTTCCTCAACTGGTCCTGAGCAACCGAAAACACAAGAGTCAGGTAAGATCTGCGTAGCCTTTACATATAAATGCTGTAATTAGGATGGTCAGGCCTTGCTGCTCTCCACTTGCCCTGCTGGCCATATCGTAGTGAGAACAACCTTATCTGTAGCATAACGGT